CACCAGAGTAATAAAAGAGAGAGATGCTGCAATTAAAAAGTGATGTAAAGAGGTTAATATACTTCCATTGTAAGGTTTTGGAGTAGATTTGTAGCTCGGGTTGTGGGTGTTGAGGTTGTTTGGCTTGCCAAACTGGTTTCTTGTTTTACACATGAACACCAACTGGCTACAAAAAGACACGACCAATACTCACTCATTTCAATCCACATGGACAAGAAGAACCACCACTTCGACTGGGACAACACCAAGATCCTGGGACAAGCTAGGCAGAGACAGGCACGAGAATTCCTAGAAGCATGGCACTCCACGAAGCATGCTATGAATAAACATATTGAACTCGACCCCATATACGTTCCACTACGAAGGAAAACCGGAAGAGAGGCAGTCCATCTCAACGGACCAACGTCTGCGAAACAAGAAACCAGCTTGGCAAGCCTACCAACCTCAATACTTCCATTGTAAAATGATTGGATATACTAAAGCGAATTGCTGGAAGTTCAATCAGAGATTGATTGCAGCAGTAGAAATGTTTAAGCAGTCTTTGGAAAAGGGTGTGTCAGCAAATGAAATATGTATTAAAACTTTAACAGTCTAACAAAACTAAACACAATACTCCAAGTGCAGCCTCACCAACATCCTGTACAACTGCAACATAACTTCCCAACTTCTGTACTCCGTGCCCTGACTGATGAAGGCCAGTGTACCAAAAGCCGCCTTCACTGCCCTGTCTACCTGTGACTCCATTTTCAGAGAAGCATGCACCTGAACTCCAAGGTCCCTCTGTTCACTACACTCCTTAGGGCCCCACGATTCACCATGAAACTCTCACCTCGATTTGACTTTCCAAAATGCAACACCTCACACTTATCTATATTAAACTCCATTTGCCATTTCGCAGCCCACTTCCCCAACTGATCAAGATCCCACTGCAATTTTTGATAACCTTCCTCACTGTCCACAATACTGCCTATTTTAGTGTCATCTGCAAACTTACTAATCATGCCTTTTACAATCATTGATATAGATAACAAACAACAATGGGCCCAGCACCAACCCCTGAGGTATGCCACTAGTCACAGGCCTCCAGTCTGACAAAAGCATCCTTCCACTATTACTGTCTGCTTCCTACCATCAAGCCAATTGTGTATCCAACTTGCCAGCTCTCCCTGGATTCCATGCGATCTAACCTTCCAGAGCAGCCTACCGTGTGGAACCTTATCAAAGGCCTTACTGAAATCATATAGACTACATCTACCGCCTTGCCATCATCAACTTTCCTGGTCATTTCATTAAAGAACTCTAAAAAAATTTGTGAGGCATGATCTCCCACGCATCAAACCATGCTGACTACTCCTAATCGAATCCTGTCTTTCTAAATGCATATATATCTTATCCCTCAAAATCTTCTCAAGTAACTTACCTATCACTGATGTTAAGCTTGCTGGTCTATAATTCCCAGGTTTTTCTTTGCAGCCCTTCTTGAATAAGGATACATTCGCTCTCCTCCAGTCTTCCGGGACCTCACCCATGGCTAACGATGATGCAAATATATCAGCCAGGGCCCCCGCACTTTCTTCTCTAGCTCTTGCAGGGTTCTTGGATGTATCTGATCAGGACCAGGAGATTTATCCATTATACATTTATACATTCTAATATTTCCAACACCTCTATTGTGATATGGACTGTCCCCAAGGTATCGCCACTAACTTCCCCAAGTTCCCAAGTCTTCATGTCTTTCTCCACGGTAAATACGGAGGAGAAATATTCATTGAGGACCTTGCCCATCTCCTGCGGTTCCACACATACATGTCCACTTTGGTCCTTGAGGGGTTCTATGTCTAGTTATTCTTTTTCCTTTAAAATACTTAAAGAATGTCTTTGGATTCACCCTAATCTTCTCAGCCAAAGCTATCTTGTGCCCCCTTTTTGCCCCCCTGATTTCCGTCGGTAAACTCCTATATCCCCTATATACTTCCAGGGATTCCCTTGATCCCAGCTGCCTGCCCCTGAGCCATGCCTCCTTCCTTTTTCTAGTCAAAGCCCCAATATTGCTTGTCATCCAGAGTTCCCTATTCCTGCCAACCTTGCCCTTCACCCTCACAGGAACATATAGAACTTGAACTCTAGCTATCACACTTTTAATGGCCTCCCACATGTCAGAAGCCTCTTTCCTGCAAACAAACTACTCCAATCAACTCCTGCAAGCTCCTGTATAATTCCATCAAAATTCACCATGACCCAATTTAGAACTTGAACCTGTGGACTGGTTTTGTACTTCTCCATAATTGTTTTAAAATTAATAGAACTATGGTCACTGGTCCCAAAGTGCTTCCTCACTGTCACCTCAGTCACCCTTCCTGCCCTATTTCCCAACAGTATGTCGAGTTCTGCCCCTTCCAAAGTAGGACCCTCTATACATGCTTTCCCGAGCACATTTAACAAGTTCCATCTCATCTAAGCCCTTAACCTCCGGCAGTCCCAGTCTATGTTAGGAAAATTAAAATTCCTCCACTATGACAACCCTATTTCTCCTGCAAGTCTCTGCAATCTCCCTGCATATTTGTTCCTCTAATTCCCGTTGGCTATTTGGGGGCCTGTACTACAACCTCAATAACCAAACAGTAGTACAGAGAGAACACATTTCCTTAGAATGTACTAACAGTGAAAAGGTTACTCAGGGCAGACAATCACGAAATTTTATTTTTTGAATATTGGCAATGAGAATCAAACCGCTGAAAGTTCTAAGTACTTTGTTTCCTTATGCTATGAATCAAGCCAATAGAGATACTGAGAAATACTTGAGCAATTCAGTCACCGATGCTGACTTATGATACTATTAGTGTTCCAGAGGGGTTAATAAAAGTGAAAATACTAATTGGAAGTATATATGGATTATAGATTATAAGAGCAAGGAAGTCATGTTGGAACTGTACAGATTTTTGATTCGGCCACAGCTGGAGTGCTGTGTGCAGATCTGGTCACCACACTGGATTGTACTGGAGCAGGTGCAAAGGAGATTCATCAGGATATTGCTGAGGATGAAACGTTTCAGCTATGAAGAAAGATTGGATAAGCTTGGGTGGTTTTCTTTGGAGCAGAGAATGTTGAGGGGGTATACCTGATAGAGGTGTATAACATTGATGGGCATGGACAGGGATGAATAGAGAGCAGTTGTTCCCTTTAGTTGTGGGGTTAATAACAACAATAATTTTAAAATGAAAGGCAGGGGGTTTTAAGGGAATTTAAGGAAAATCTTTTTCACCCAGAAGGTGGTGGGGATCTCGAATGCAATGCATGTGTAGGTTGATAAGGCAGGAAACCTCACAACTTTTAACATGTACTTGGATGATCACATGAAGTGTCATAACATTTAATGCTTTGGGACTAGTGTCGGTAGTAGTGTACTTTTGACAGTACGGACTCGATGGACCGAAGGGCCTCTTCTGTACTTTACGGTTCTATGAGGTTACAAGCCAATTTCTTTATACAGATTGATGAAAGAATGGCTAGTAAGTGGAGACATTTTAGTGAAACAATTTCTGGGAGAAGGAATTGATTCTATTTTGGGAAGTGATCTGCCACGTGTAAGAATATTGGTCCCTCCAAATGTGGTGGAATAACCAGTAGAGGTAAAGGAAACTGAAATGTTGCAAGATGAACACCCTGGATGTTTGTAGGAACTTGCCCACAGATTTAGAGTCAAACAGCACAGAAACAGACCCTTCAGCCCAACTCGTCTGTGCTGGCAACATTTTCTAAACTGAACTAATCTCATTTGCCTGTGTTGGGCCTATATCCCTCTAAACCCTTCCTATCCATATACCTGTCCAAATGTCTTTTAAATGTTGTAACTGTATTTTCCTCTGGCAGCACATTCCAGGTATGTGCTACCTTCCGCGTGAAAAAGTTGTCCCTCAGGTCTGTTTTAAATCTTGCCCCTCTCAGCTTAAACCTATGCCCTTTAGCTGTGGACTCCCCTACCCTGGGGAAAAGACCTTGGCTATTCACCCCATCCATATCCCTTATGATTTTATAAACCTTGTAGTTGTCTAAATTGACTGACTTATGATCGCTCAGTGTATTCTTACACCCTTTTTTTAAACCAAAATGTAACATTTGTAAGTCTCCAGTCCTCTGGCATCAGCCCTGTATATAAGGAAGGTTGGAAAATTATGACCGGTACCTCTCCAATTCCCTCCCATACTTCCCTCATCTACCTGACAGTGCCTTTTGGCGAGAACCATCCAGTGTTCAAGTCACCAACCACACATGCATTTTTGTTTTAAAATGATAGAGCAACAAACAGTAACACGAGAGTCTGCAGAATTGACCTGGAAGGAGCACCAAGTATCAGTTCAATTTGTTGTTTCTGCTGGGGCATTGGGTTTTTATTTGCTGTTGAGATTTGTCCATGGAGTACTTTTTCAATAGAATGGATTTAAATTCATTGGCTTTAGTGCCACCTTCTTGAAATACTTCATAATGGTTTAGCTGTAGTATTCTTCTTAAAACAGCTACTTAATGTACAGCTATCATTCCTTGAGAAGCTTTCCATTGATTCAAACAAATATTTAATTATGACACATTTATGTATTTGGGCATATTCACATTTTTCATTAAGGAGCAAGATTGCTGCCCCAGGAAGGTAGCCAGACCATCACTAAAGATCAGAAGAAACACTGGTAGCAATGAAATAGTGCAAGAGATGTATTCATTTTATGTTTTCTCTTGTCAAAAAATACTTATTTGCTACTTTAATAGCTATTTTGAGCCAATCTTCAACTTAGTCTGGCCATGGTTAGATGTTAAACTTGGCTCAGAGGAGGCACTCTCCTATAGCTGACACGGTTTGGCTTCCAAACCTAATTCACCAATCTGAGCACAAAATCTAGGCTGATATTTTGGTGCACAGTGAAGGATTACTTCAGTGTCTGATATGCTCTTTGCATCACTGCTACTGTATTCTGAATATGTGTCCTCTTTTTGTTTTCTAAATGCAGAGTAAAGAGGCAAAGTGGATTAGGTAGCATTCTTGGAAAGATTGGGGGAAAGAAACAAAAGTTGAGCACCCTGGAAAAGTCGAAGATCGACTGGGAAGCATTCAAAGAAAAGGAAGGGATTGGTGATGAGCTTGCAATCTACAACCGAGGAAAAGAAGGGTGAGTGCTGAAAATAAGTTCCAAATGGAAAGTGACCTAATTTCTCAAACAAGAAAAAGATAACAGCACACTTGCTGTGCTCAAACACCTTGATTGGCTGCCAAGTATTTCCAAGTTCAGACGCACCATCAAGCTCGTATCAATTGTTGTGTTTCTTAATACACACACACACACACACACACACACACACACACACACACACACACACACACACACACACACACACACGTATGGTGTATGTTATTAAAGCAGTTCAGCAAAGATGCTCGAATTTCTCTCACTCATTTAATTTATTCCAACTATAAAAGTCAATTGTTCAATCTAAGTTTCAACTTTACAGTACAAACACAACAACATAGCTAATTTGCGCTACTTTGATGTTATCTCCTGTAATGGTCACAGTAGATTCAAAATGAGAAGAGTTTGCTTAACACTTTCACTACAATATGATCAAATCCATTTTGTGTGTTCCTGTGTACTGTGAAATCTGGCACCTATTCTCAGACAGGGCCCGGGATATCACTTCACTGCAATACAGCCTTTTGGTCAGGATGCATTTGAGGAAATGTAAACAGCAAGGGCATGCTGATACTCTGTCTTTTTATTTCTGCTAAAAGAGAGGCTGCCGCACACAGAAAGCCTGTTATGTTCCCCCAAAGTTTTTCTCGGCGATCCATCGAGCTTTACTGTGACTTCTATGTTTTGCCTCTTTCAAAGTTCTAAGTTTCATTTTGAAGTGTTTTAACAATCATTGCAGCGGGAGGTAAAATGTCCATTTGATTTTGTTGAGGCTGCTCTGCAATTGTACAGGAATTCCAGCCACCTACCATGCCACTGCCAAGCAATGTTTGTGCATGTGTCTATTGCTGCGCCATCTAGTGATGGCATTCACCATAAACACGGCCATTGTAACACTCGGGCATGGGATGTACCATTGCTGGTTATATTTAATTCTGTCTAGTAGTGGAATCTGCCAGAAAATGTGTTAATAGGTCACTCAAAACGATTCAAGGGTGACTGAGTAACAGGTCAGGGGTCAGTTGGCCAGTCAGGGAGAAAGCCAAAGAGGAGGGCATGCATTTGAGTGTGCTGCTGTTAGCTCTATGAGGGTAGGGCTGATAGAAACCCCAGGAACCAATGAAGCTGAGAATGGAGGTAAAGAAACTGATAAGCAGTATTTGCTTGGTATAACCGAGAAAGATTGGGGTGCAGAGAAAGTCAGGAGCAAGAGAGGGTGGCTCCATGCAGATAAAGTACTTCTCTTATCTTGGAATAGCTGGAGATTCCTTTAAGTCCCAAGAGCTGCTTGGTGCAGCCGAGAATTGGGGTTCAAGGAAGCCCACAAGCGGCATTTATAGTTCAGTGCAGCTGGGAAATTGGAGTTTAGAGAAACCCAGGAACCATGCCAGCTTAGTGAGGCTAGTTATCTGCCAAATAACTGCAATTGTGTCATGAGCAGATGCTGGAGTGCAATCTCAAGAAACCAGGGAAGGGTAGTGCTTGGTAAAGAGATTGAAACAGTGGGAGGTGAACAATTTTTTGAGGCAGGTTTTCATCAGAGTAGCTTTTGAGTAAATTGAGGGAAAGTGAAGATTGGATGTCCTTTATGAAGGAGGCCAAGTCTTAATAAGATTTTATGATGCACAGAATGGTGAACATCTAGGGGAGTTGCTGAAAAGTCTGTGGGATCTGTTCTGACCACATCTGCTATTTGATGTGCTCTGTGCAATGTTTGAACACAGTTCATTAACCTATATTTACCTCATTTTAACTGTGGAAGTTACTGGATGAGTACGGTGTATATATATCGTATGTTATTTTACTTTTCTAACCTTGATTATTAAAGTTAAAGTTCACACAAGTTTGAGTTGCAATAATTTGTCAAATTTCTTTTTCATAAAATCTTTTCTAGTCAAATGATTAAAAAAAACCCCTAGCTTTATGAAGCTATGGCCAGCAATTATTTTAGACACAGGCTGATTGAAAGATATTGAAGCTGTCAAATATGATTGGAGCAAAATGAATCTTTACCCTACTTCCACATATGCGTATTGTTGTCTGTGTGTGTTGACAGCAATTTGAAGGATCACAATGAAATTAATTTAAACTTTATCTTGTTACAACAGCTGTATTATAGTTTGTTTTATTCAAACATTATTGCCATTTCATCACTCCTTAATGGAGAAAGTCTCCATCCACTGATGATTACATGATACCTGTTGCGACCAATACACTAGAACATCAGAGTCTCAACTAGAATACAAGACATAACCTTAACCAATATTCATGTTATTTAATCAAAATGTTCAAATATTTCTAGTTAATGGTCCATTCTATCCAATCTACAAAGATTAAGATACAGGTAAGATACAGGTGTATCAGAATGTTTTCACTGAACTGTTTTGTGCAGAAACAGCCATTGCATACATAGCTATATCCATTTAACATGATTGACGCTCACTTTCCCACTTGTTAGACCTATTTCTGTGCTTGTATCATGCTATCAGCAACAATGTATGTATTCTAATGCTGTCATGCTTCTTTTTAAAATACATGTTGAATACTGTGTTGAAAACAACAATGCTTGCTCCCTTAGTTAGCAGTATCCTTTATCCCTGTCCAAGTAAATACATTGGATGCAACTGCTCAATGTTATCTGCAGGGTTTACAGGTATATTCCATGACAAATGGCCAAACCCTCCCAAAGCATGAGTCAATGTTAATGGTCTTGGATATACAGAGGAGTGGGCTGCTGCAGTTCCAGTGTGCTGCACAGTGGCACAGCTACATTGGAGAACGTTGATACGTTCAATCATACCAAATACTGAAATGTCAAACAGGGATATAATTAACCAAAGAATGCTATTTTGTTCAGTAAAATCCATTTTCAATTTTTTTGCTTTCACAAGTATTAAAAAATCTTGTCGGGGCTGAGAACGATCTTCAAGTCTTCTTTCTGTATTAGTTGGTATGTTGACAATGAGACATGCACAGTCATAAGCCTCTTGTTTCTGACTTCAAGGCTGCTTTTGTTCTGCGATAAAAGGTGAAAATCTGATGGATTCAAATGACAAATTGTAAAAAGTTGAGCACAGATTTGACAGTTTTAAACTAGCTCTGGTGATCCTTAATTATCTCTTTTTAAACATAGTGAACCCTCGGTGGTGGGATGGCCACCTGACCTATTTCGCATGCCACCCCTCCCCCTTGCACATGTGCCAAAATCAAGGGCTTGTAAAATTTAGTCCCATGACTTGGACTTTACCAGAAGGAGCAACTGGAATCAAGAGATTAAAATTTACTGTGGTCGGGCACATCAGTGTTGGAGATGGTGGACTGGTCGAGCGAGTTGAAGGTTGCAGGGGGTTCACACAGAATGGAATACCAAAATACTCAAGACTGTTGGGAGTTTTGAAAGTTGAGGTTTCATGTCACTTGTGCATTTGTTCCCAGCGATGGATTCCAAAGGAATTGAAGTTACAAGCTGGCAGGAGAATGTGAATTGTGAATGATGCAAGGGAGTGATCAGTGATGGTCTTGTCAATAAAAAGGACATTGGAGTAGAAAGGCCACAGGTGATGGCGCCAATATTAGTGTAGCTATGAATAGGAGCAGAAGAGGGTTAAGGAGCATAGGAGGGTCATGGAGAAATTAAATGTCCTCATTTTTAAAATGAATATAATTTTTAATTGTTTTTTGGAACCAACAAAGTGTTTTTTTCTAAAATATGTTAGAGAGTTGCTGACTGCATATGATTCAGAGGGCCTGGGCAGCTGTTCATTGGGGACCAGTTTACCCACTTAAGTCAGTTTCTGATTGAGAAGCTAGTCAGCCACTGTGCCGTAAGATCATTTTGCCTTACATGTGACCACCAGGAAAATTCTGACACAGTGGGGCTGATCTACTCTGTAATTTATTTTCTCCCCATCTACGATTGACATGTATATTACCTCGATATATCTCCTGCACAGCTAAGGTGAGAGCAGAATTTCGTGATGATGGGGCTTTGAACTGAATCTATATCTGGCCACTTGATGAATGTCCTGTTGGTATGCAGTCAAACCATGGGTTAGCTCACTGTTATTTTTGCCTTGCTAAATGCTGTTGCTCTCAGGTGTTTCAGAAGATGTACTTTACACATTGTAAACTTAGCAACTTTTAATGAGTTTTATAAACCTTGATGCTCATCATTTAGTGTTGTTCAAACCTCATATATTGATAGAATTCCTAAAACCTTTCTGTATTTAATTCTGATATTCCTTGCTTCTGTGTGTTGAGGATCAGAACAGTACAAGGACAAGATACCAAGCTGTTGGTGGTAGAAAGGACTTTGACATTTTTACACAAAGCTTTGCCACAAATCTCTGGGATCTTTGCCTTGTTTCAAAAGGAAGTTCTGAGTTGTCTTGAAGGTTTTTTTTCATTATCTAAAGTAATTTTGACTTGTTTACCTTTTACAGTACCTGAAAGCCATGCCTCAGGCTTTATCTTTTAGAAATATATTTAATTTTAGATGAAAACATGCATCCTTATTATAGCTAGCAATGTTTGTACTGTGTTTTAGAAAATGAATGAAATTGTGCCTTCTGGCTGTTTGTAGTAAAAATAAAACTGTTTCATTTCCTGCATCTCACACTGAATTGGAGACAAATTTCCATTATTGGTCACTGATAAAGCAATCAATTGTTACTTTTGAGTGTTGTTACAAGGATTCTTTTTCTTGTCTTAAAGACACCATTTATAGTTTTTTTTTTCCCCTGGCTAGATGTGTTGAAAAGACTAGAACCCTCTATGTCCAATAACAATGCTTCAAATAAAGCAGGCTGCCAAGTAGATGAATTATTAGAGATTACACAATTTTGTGTTCTAGCAAATAGGATGAAAACAGACAGTCAGACTCCTGGTCAGTATGAAACACCCATCTCCTGTTGTTATATACCACCCTGAAGCTTTTCAAATGTTTCTGAGGTGAGGTATCCAAATGCAGTTGCCTGTTTTAA